AAGAGAAATGGATCTGTTACAAAGCGACCCTGTCAAACCTTTGTGGCCTCACATCTTATCAATGATCCTCATCTGCCATGAAAATATTTGTTTTCAGGGACATTCGCCAGATAAATGAGCTCATTACTTGTAAAAACCCGGTTTCTCATCAGCTACAACAACAAAGCAACTTCCTTGAATTCACTATGATCATATATGTAATTGTAATAAGACTGAGTGGAGTCTGTAATCACAGGCGTGATGAAAAAGTCGGACGACCGCGCAGCGGAAGTCCGATTTGTTTATCACGTGAAGGATTTCAGACTGAATTAGACAAAGTCTTCTTACCAATTAATCATGAAAATTACAATTTCTGAGAAAAGAAAAACAGCCAGGTCACGAAAGAAAAGAAAGAAAATTTGCATTAAAAGACTTAGCGAGGAGGCGTAAATTGTTTGATTGGTTGATTTAAACTGCCGCTTTGAATGTGATTAACTTATTGAACTGTTCGATAACAAACTTTTGAATAACAAACTGTCCGATAACGACTTGGCAAGTGAATTAGTGGATAATGGGAGTTTTTTAAACCAATTACAATCGAATAAATTGCAACTTTATGATTGATTATCGTAATAGGGTCAAGGGGAATCCAATTCGGTCTGTAATCATACCGAGTGATTAAAAATTTCCGTAAACAACAATTACATTTTGGACAAACATCTCCGGTAGAGACAACGTGAAAAAGGAAAAAATTACTCCATTTTTGAAATTCACCAGTTTTCTTTTTTCAAGATAAGTGGTTGTTGCTATGGTTATTGCAATCAATTCTGTGATTGGTGGATTTAGCTGAGTGGACTTAGTATAATGCTTCTTCAATTGCAACTGTCCGATTATAGGTGTCCGATTACAGCCAAATGTCAGATTACACTGTCCGATTTCAGCTACACAGAATAATTGGAGAAAAATAAAGCAGCTAATGCAAGGAAGACTTCGATTTAAAAATTAATTTCTGCCTTTAATTAAAATTTTAAAAATGGCTGCATTTGTTTGCCGTCTCATACGGCACCACACCTCAACTTCAGCATAACATATAAAAGAAGCGTTGAGTTCCAAATGCAAATTAAAATAATTAGCCGTCGCGGTTTCGGTTCGCAGACGACGCAAATCGTGGTGAATTCACGTTGTTGTTTTGCATAGGACGGCTAAGAAATGTAAAAAGTTTTAAAATGCGCGTGCTGAGCTATTGTTCCGCCAATTAGATCTTTTGCTTTTCCATGTCCTCGTTGCCGTCCCCGTCGTGGTTTGCTTAAGGTCCCTATTATTTTTGCCGTTTCACTTTCAAAGTAATAGCCAAGAGGGGATACCCAAAACAGAAGTGATCTGAATACTCAAAACCTCGGGATACCCTAAAAAACTGTGAAAGCGCAAGTTTCAGAATGTTTGGGAAACTTAGGTACTCGGGTTTTGTTATCTAAAAGTATTTAGTGAAGTAAGCTCTGATAGGAAAGCCTTATGAATGCTTTTCCGATTTTTATGTTTGCATATCACGTTGTGAATAATCGTAATTGCAGAAACTGATTGTTTTCCCAATTACGTAATTAGGCAAATATATTTATTTCATTGCTGATGTTATAGGATAATCGCGATGTAAGAGTTCGTAGTTTTCCAGTGGCCGTAATTTGCATAGGTAATAAATTTGACCTCGTCCACTTTTTGTTAAAGCACCAAAGTCTTCCGTAAGAAGATAAGTCAGCCTATAACGCTGAGAGCTCACGAAGAAAAACAGTGTATTTCCGGTGAGGAACAGAACGTTACTTGACTGATTTACTATAATCTGGTCATAGTGTTATTGATCAGATAACAATAATACAATAAATACAAATATACAATAAACCCAAACAACTTTGGTTAAAAATCTAGAGATTTTTCTGGTGCTATTTAACAAACTCATGGTGTATGCCTGCATAAAAGTGGGAAAAAGAGGATTACATAGAGAATAATGCGTGGGCGCGCGTGGATATGGAATTTCTCTTCGAGTGTTTAACTACGTAGCTCACGAGTGAGCGCAGCGAATGGGTGAGATGTCGATTTGAACACGAGAAGAGAAATTTCATATCCACAAACAACCATGTATTATTTTGTTTCTCATATAAACTCGATAAACCCTTTACTGACAAGAAAAATCAACTTTATTCATCAATGATATTTGATATTCTAAAAGATCAAAAACGTGTAGAATCGTATCGTGTGGTTCTTACATTAATCAAGATGTATTGAAAGTTGTTCATCTCTTCCGTGGAACAAAACACTTAAAAATCATGGTATAGGTTGGCCTCATTACTGAGGGAAGTTTAGGAATGTAGGAAAAATTGTTATCTGATTTTCATTGTTTTTGTCGTTTCACTTTCAAAAGTGTCAGCTGCGAGGTCAATTTTATCGGTCAATAATTTTATCAGTGTACTTTTTTTTTAAAGTAACTTTGTCTTAACTTTAGTTTTAACTTTACGGTCACATATGAAATAAGTAACTTCTCTATCGCAAATGCATAAATTATTTTTTTTTTAAGTCCTGTCCTGTCCTGTGACTATTAAGTCATGTTATGTTGTGCAAAAATCGCCACCGGATGAAATAAATTGGTCACAAAGCCGGAGTTCGTCAAACCTCTGTGACCCCACAGCTTGTTCATCATTCTTATCAGCTAAGGATAGATTCGTTTTCAGTGACATTCATCTGATAAGTAAGCTCGTTACTTGGTAATATCTTGCTACAACAATATTTTCAAGTGTTTCATGCCATATAGCGGAAAGTCAAGAAATCTTCCAGACAGTTGCGGTTAAAGGTTCTGTCTCCTGTTAGCCTAAGAATTGAAACGCTTAAGATCAAGTCTCTGTAAGAATCAAACATCTTGGGAAATGAAAATTTTCAACCCCCCTTCAAATTTTACATGCAGTTAGGCACTCAGGGGATGCACAAAAATGCCCTTTTAAAGGCCGCAGCACTCTTGTTGCTATAGTAACAACGACTTCTTGTTCGAGGCCTGGGGCCTGATTTTCATACAAAAAACGTCGCAAGAAAAAAAAGTGAAATGTTTATTTCTCTATCTTAAGCTAAATAAAACATTAAAAATTGGCACTTCTACCATACATAGTAACATCATTTGTCTTCACATTGATTCATTCAATTTTCCCTGGGAGTGAATGTGAACACACCAATAGATTATTCATCTCGGTACAGTTTCGGTCATTTTTGTTGTCGGGTAAAACAGGGAAAACTTTCATCTGAATTTCTTCAAAAGTACACCGATTCTGGAACCGAAACTAACCACCTAGCTGGTTATAATATTCTTGTTTTTAAATATGTAAAAATCTCTGCGGGTCTGACTCCACTTTTTATAGGGGCAATTCAAAAAAAAAAGCTCAAAAATCAGATATTGCATAATTTGGCGATGTTTACACCTAATGTTCTCAACAACAAACGTTTCAGACAAATGAAAGGTGCGAGGCTTTGAAAGAATGTTATCTTATGAGCAATATCCCGAAGAGAAATCTCGCCTCTGTTTGTCATCTTTTAAAAAAATTGACTAACCTTCGTGGAGGACAACTCGACGTAACTACAAACATAAACTTCAAATCGTGTACATATCATCCACCTACACCTTCTTCCATGGGAATTTGAGCAATCTGAAATTCTCTGAAGATACACTGTTATACTTGTATGTTATTTGAAACATGTTGAAGTCGGTTGATCTACACGAAACTATCCTCACACCGGTCAGTTGTCATAAACACCTTATCATGATGGCGTGACGCTGTATTTCTCCATGAAGTTTCCATCGGTCGCCCCAAAGAAGACGAGAAATGGACATTTTGGTCGTGACAACGTATATGTTCATGACAAATGACGGGTGTGAGGATAACCAGCTCGGTGGGTAGTTTCGGTTCTAGAATCGGTGTACTTTTGGAGAAATTCTTTGCTAGTTTCTTTGCAGAATACTGGTAGTACAACATCATTGATTCCCCAAGATTATCAAATGCTCTGATGAAGGGCTAACGTTCGAAACGTCAGCTTCAGAAACTCATCACAATGGCCAATTTACATTGTCAACTCAGTTGGTAAAGCCAAATTATATTGTATATCCCACCAAAGTTTTTTTCGAAACTTACCCCGTTGATTAATGTTGTTTATAGAAACTATGCAAGGGGAAAGTTCTCACAGCAAAAGTTAAGATAAATGCTGTTTTGTTTATCTTTATCCTGTGACTTTAGAGTCATGTCATGTTGTGCAAAAATCACAACTTAAGTAAAATGAAGGGTGACAAACCGAGTTTGTCAAACCACTGTTACCTCAAATCCTGGCAATCATCCTTATCAGTTACGAATAGATTCGTTTTCAGCCATATACCTCAGATAAGTAAGTTCGTTAACCGGTGATAAACTGCTAGAACAACATTTTCAAATGTTCCCAGAACGTTGTAGTAAAAGGTATCAATCCTTCTTGTTTTTTTAAGAAACCTGCAACCTTTCAAAACCACCTAATTGATGGCGCGACCCCACGACTTACGATCGTTAATCAAACTCAAGCATGCGTCATTTTTTCTTTTACTTGATAAGAAGAATAAACGAAACAGCTGGATCAAAAATCATTTGGATAACAGATGACTTTCATAGAGTGACAGTCATACAGTCTGCTTCAAAGAATCTGTGCAGGTCAAATAAAATTTTAAAAGTTTCACCGAATGTGATCCGTTGATGTGTTCCAGTTGTACTTATCCACACCCTTCTTCAATTTTGTTTTAAAGCCGATATGGTGAATTCTAACACTTTCAGCTCGTTACAATAAGTTTCAAGGTGAAATCGACCAAGCTTGCTTTTGTAACTTAACATGTGTGTTCCGGTTTGTAGTGACTCATTATGAATCCAGATTATCGAATCACTTTGTATTGCGTTACTGAAAGAAATGTTTCCCTGATTACAGAAGAGGATGGCAATGGAAACCTAATAGCAGAAGCCATGATAGCTTTCATGACCATCGCCTTACTTGTTTCCCTGTTCTTGCGCAACTCAAATCGCATTCAGAAAGCCATTGAGATATGCAGGGAATGTTTGATTTTGCTAAATAGCACCGATCAAAACAGCAAAGACATCTTTATAGTTGTTTTCAGCAACATGCTGTTTATCTTATACATAAAGTCTGGAATTATGCTTAAAACACTTGGCGAAAACCTAAAGGCGAAGGAATATTTTGAGAGGGCCCTTGCTATAGCTACCGAAATTGGCGACAGAAGAGGAGAAGCATCATCTTATGGAAACCTAGGTACTGTGTTTTTGTCGCTCGGACAATACGCCAAGGCTAGAGAGTATCTCCAAAAGGCGCTTCTCATCAGAACTGAAATTGGTGACAAAGAAGGAGAGGCAACTGACTACGGAAATTTTGGTTATTTGTTTCATTTGCTCGGGCAATACGACAAAGCTGAAGAGTATCTCCAAAGAGCGCTTGTCATCAGAACTGAAATTGGCGACAGAAAAGGGAAAGCATCATGTTATGGAAACCTAGGTACTGTGTTTCAGTCGCTCGGACAATACACCAAGGCTAGAGAGTATCTCCAAAAGGCGCTTGTCATCAGAACTGAAATTGGTGACAGAGAAGGAGAGGCAACTGACTACGGAAATCTTGGTAATTTGTTTCAGTCGCTCGGGCAATACGACAAAGCTGAAGAGTATCTCCAAAGAGCGCTTGTCATCAAAACTGAAATTGGCGACAGAAATGGGAAAGCATCATGTTATGGAAGCCTAGGTACTGTGTTTCAGTCGCTTGGACAATACGCCAAGGCTAGAGAGTATTTCCAAAAGGCGCTTGTCATCAGAACTGAAATTGGTGACAGAAAAGGAGAGGCAACTGACTACAGTAACCTTGGTATTGTGTTTATGTCGCTCGGCCAATACGACAAGGCTCAAGAGTATCTCCAAAAGGCGCTTGTCATCAAAACTGAAATTGGCGACAGAAAAGGGAAAGCAACATGCTATGGAAACCTAAGTGTTGTGTTTCAGTTGCTCGGACAATACGCCAAGGCTAGAGAGTATCTCCAAAAGGCGCTTGTCATCAAAACTGAAATTGGCGACAGAAAAGGGAAAGCAACATGCTATGGAAACCTAGGTACTGTGTTTCAGTCGCTGGGACAATACGCCAAGGCTAGAGAGTATCTCCAAAAGGCGCTTGTCATCAGAACTGAAATTGGTGACAGAAAAGGAGAGGCAACTGACTACGGAAATCTTGGTAATTTGTTTCAGTCGCTTGGGCAATACAACAAAGCTGAAGAGTATCTCCAAAGAGCGCTTGTCATCAAAGCTGAAATTGGTGACAGAAATGGGGAAGCATCATGTTATGGAAACCTAGGTACTGTGTTTCAGTCGCTCGGGCAATACGACAAGGCTAAAGAGTATCTCCAAAAAGCACTCGTCATCAGAACTGAAATTGGTGATAAAGAAGGGAAAGTAACAGATCTTGCAAACTTTGGATGTGTGTGTGGAGCTATAGGAGATTATGAAGCCTCAGAAGTATGCTTAGAGAAAGCTTTATCGATGTCCAGAGATATTGGAGATAGAAGAGGAGAGTTCGAAATCCTTCAACATTACGCCATTTTATATTTGTCGCAAGATAAAAAAGAAGAATCCCGTTCGTGTCTTTATCTCTGCATTGAAAAGTATGAGGAGCTGAGATATTTCTTAGGCGCCAATGATCAGTTCAAAACATCATTTCTGGAGCACTCAGGAATATTTCCCTACAAGCTGCTTTGTAGTTTGCTTTGTGACACCGGAAATGCTCGGGATGCTCTTTATGTTGAGGAGTTGGGTCGAGCTAGAGGCCTATCAGACTTAATGGTAGAGAAGTACTCGGTTGGAACGCACATCTCTGCTAATCCGCAATCTTGGTTTGGCCTTGAGAACATTTTTAAAAAGAAAAATAACTGTAGTTGTCTGTACATTTCGTATTTTCACAGTGATCTGCGTTTGTGGATCTTAAAGAAAAGTGGAGTCCTTCACTATAGAAGAATATCAGTAGAAGAGAATCTAGTTCAGGCTGGGTTGCCCAAAGATTTGCGTTTGAGTAAATTTTTGGATGGTAATTTCCGGAGTCTTGGTATTTTGCCCACTAAAGATTGTGAAGATCGGTCTTTAAATATGGTTAAATTGCAACCTCTCTCCCCCGCACAGAAGAGCTCAGCAAGATTGCGACTCGTGGAGGAGGACGAGGACGAGGATGAGGACGAGAAAGTGATTTCAGCTCTATTTTTGTGTTACAAAATGTTTATTGCTCCCGTTTATGATTTGCTTGAGGAGCCTGAAGTCATTATCGTTCCTGACCGCAGTTTGTACAAAGTTCCCTTTGCTGCACTGAGTGAAAAGGAGGGAGCCCAATACCTCTCGGAGACTCATAGAATCCGTGTCATTCCTTCTTTGACAACACTCAAGATTATTGAAGATAGCCCAGAGGACTATCACAGCAACACTGGTGCCTTGATAATAGGCAACCCTAAGGTTAATTGGCTGCCACCATTGCCAAGTGCAAGAAAGGAAGCGGAGATGGTCGGACGACTGGTGGGTGTTCTGCCTCTGGTAGGAGAAGAAGCAACAACGAAGCAGGCGGTGCTTGAGCGGATAAGTTCAGTGAGCCTGATTCATTTTGCTGCCCATGGTGACGCCGAAAGGGGAGAAATTGCCCTCTCCCCATCCCTAGTACTTCCAACAGGCGAAACGCTATCTTACCACATGAAGATTACATGTTGACGATGGCTGATGTATCACGAGTGAAAGTCAGAGCTAAACTGGTGGTACTTAGCTGCTGTCACAGTGGAAGAGGTCACATTAGAGCCGAGGGAGTCATAGGAATTGCCCGTGCGTTCTTAGGATCCGGTGCTCGCTCGGTGTTGGTTGCGCTGTGGGCCATTTCAGACTCAGGAACAGAGCAGCTGATGAGTCGGTTCTACGAACACCTTGTAGAGGGAGAAAAGTGCCAGTGAATCCCTCCATCAGGCCATGAAGTGGATGAGAAAAAGCAAGTCTACCAGTGTGTCTGAGTGGGCTTCGTTTACGCTGATTGGAGATGATGTGAGACTCGGGTTTGACAAGCAGAGGTAAGACTCAGTCCGAAAAGATATTTCACAAATTAAAGTCTAAGTAGATGTGAAGGTAGCTGTGATTTACTGGTCGGTGACTGTGGGCGGGGGTCCTTTGTTACCATCAAGGGTAGTTCGGTATATATCCATATACATATATTTTTTTTCTTTTCTTTTCGGAGAGTTACTATCGACGCTCTCTGGTGTAAATATAGAATCTCGAAAGGGCCTCTCTGCCAATCACATACAAGTGCTAGCCATTTATATTTTTAGATATTAAGCTTGGTATAATTGTATTTGCTTCATATCCAAAATATTAATCGAGTTAATAATAAATTGCTGTTTTTTTTTCTCTTTTTTTTTACAGAGAAAGAGACCCCGACAGAGTAAATAATGAGAATCACTCGAAGGAAACAGAGCCAAAAGACTTTTAGATGCATAAATTGAATAGAGCAAAGTAGAGAACATACTTTATCCGGTATTTCATTAAAATTAAAAAAGGAGCTATCCCAAATTAGATCTAGTTCAATTTTTTGTGCTTTCGTTTTCAATATTGTTAAAAGACGAAATTTGTATCTATCCAGTGTTTTTTTTTTACTTATTTAAACGTTGGAAATGAATGGAAATAGTATATTAGCATAAGCCATTCAGTAAAAATTATAATAAGCCAGTTGATCATTTCTTATTCCTTTTGGCGGTCTTATCTTACAGGTATAATTTAGCACGCTCGACACCTCTTTTTCTTAGAGGTGACTTAAGGTGTAAACAAGTAGTACTTTTCATCCTCCGCACTGAATTTATAATCAGGTAATTTATACGAATAGCACGTAGCTCTTTTAGGGGCAGTACCTTGGGTACGCCCTTTCTTCTCCAAATTTTCTGTTTATTGTGCTGTTATGTAACAGTCTTCGAGAAGTATTTCCTCTTAAAATATATTTTCAAGTATGATTCTAATTCTGTTGGTAATTTCATTACAATTTTTATATTATCAATCTTGTTTTAGTTATGACCAACATTGACTGTAAGACTAAGAAATTTAAGGATTTTGTAAAGCGTAAACATCTCGAAGGTATCTACTTAGTATGCGAACTCCACTCTGCGTAGCTTAACGTGATTCGCTAGTTAAGTGTAAAAGGATGACGAAGGTTAGAGATTGGCAGCTCAGTAAGCGTCCCTTTTATAAGTGGAGACCCACACTTTTCTTGTTAGATCTGAGTTAGTCCCGAGGTAATAAGTTGTATGTAAGAAAGAGAAGAATAAAGAAACCTTCAACTGAACAACGCAAAAATTATATTTCCAATATCACAAGCACAGAAAAACGTTGACGTAAGTAAGGCTTTAAAGTAAAGCGAAATCAGTAAAGTTAAAACAGTAGTTTAGATATAAAACGAACCACTATAATCTGATTAAATTTTTTTTTCAAAGCCTTTTGTAAGGTTTAGTTAACAAAATCTTCAATATTTGAGGAATAAATTTGATGTAGCATCTTAAAAGATCCTTGTCAACCACTCCTCTTCCAAAATATATCCTGATCAAAACTAATCTATGAAGACAGAAGTTTAAAATCGCTTCCGGATGTCATGCAGGCTCGTCAATACTTCAAGAGTGTTATGTTAGATTTTTTTTGCAAATTGTAGTGATTTATGCCAGTTAACGGTGGCGACAAGAAGGCGCACCATGTACATTTCATAGTCGCTATCAAGTAGATTTTGCCGGACTTTGAGTTCGTCTTAAGATAGAACAACACAAATACACAAGGAAATTTTTACAGTAACTTTGTAACCGACCTTTTGTCTTATGAAAGCTTGAAGCTCAGTAGATTGTGTCATATCGGTCATTGTTAAAACTGTCTTTGTTTTGATGCTACTTTTCGACATAGGAAAAGTATGTCGCACAAAAATATTCACCAAAAAGTAAATATTTCTTTGGCAGCTTCAATAACGACAGGGGATTAAGTTTAGATGATAAAACAAAGGATTATGTTCACAGAAATACCGAAGGTCCGGTACATTCGATACATGAGGTCACACAACTCGGGTAATATTCACGGTGAAAATTTGCATATTTGAGCGGTCGAACGAAAAAAATTGTTTCTCGAAAACTAAAATATATTTTTACAAAAAAACCACACCATAATTATTAGAACATATTGGGCTACAAAATATAAAAGTAGGAGGGAAAAAAAATTTGGGTGACTTGCCGCTGTTTGTTTGATGCATGCTGACATTAGCTCTTAAATGTGAATGACGCTATATGTTTAAAACTTTTAAACGGCGTTTCTTTCCCTACAAACCATCATCAACAGCCAGTAGTCGCGTATCCTTTTTAGCGGCCCACCAACAATTCCTTTTTTTCCACTTCAAGAACGAAATCAAAACTTAAACCACAATTTTTTTGGACACGATTTATCATCGACACCACGCACGTTCTTTTAGGGTGGACGCAACTTGGTAATGGCACGACATCTTTTGATGTTTTATTTTCATGATTACTTTCTGTCGACTGTTTTTCGAAATAATTTCACATACGCTTTAATTTTTCAGTACATTAAAACGCAAAATTAAGTTGACTTGGTCGTAAATTTACATACGACTACCGAATTCGCGAACATGTTCATTTCATGCACGAACTAACTCATAAATGACTGTGTAAAATATATAACAAATTAACGCCGCAAAGAGGTATTTGCACTTAAAATTTTAAGTGCTTTTGAGATTTTCTTTCAACCAGAAAATAACGTTATTTACAAATGCCCCTTCTTTTTGTATCGAGGTAGGAACTCACAACTTTTCGTTGATGAACAAGAATCGGTCAGTGGAATGTAAATACGTTTTTATGGGTATAATATTATGTTTGATTAAAACATCTAATGCACTTGGCTTGATTACATCTAAAATTATAAAAAGAAGGCTGCACAAGGTTATCTTAAAGTACAAACTAGTTTATTGCTTGCCTCATCAACTATTTCTTCTGAGTAAATTGTAAAAAAAAAATTAGGTTATTGTTATTGATAGTCATCATGAATGCAAAATCGTGCGTTTTCCTTATAAACTCCTCAGGGCAAATAGTCTCATCAGCTGTCAAAACATCAATACTGTTACAAAACCTTTATTAATTAGATGACATGGATGATTGAGTTTAAAAATAAATTACCACGAGTTTTATCCTGTTTCTTTGAAGACTTTAAACATTTAAAAGCATATTTATCGGCCGGTAGTATTGCAACTTGGATCTCGACAAAAGGATCGACAGAAAATTCCATTTTAGCCATCGATCAATTCAGGATCTTTACACTGGAATGATGTTGTTTCATTTGATGATCTTTTATTTCGTTTTCTTCTCGACCTCAGGGTATTATTAACTTTTACATCACTGGATGAATTTTTAAGTTTACCTTAGAGTTTTGGCTGCCCATGCATACATCCTACTCAAGAAATCTTTAGAACCGAAAAATACTTTTTATTTTTCTTTTAGAGTTTCTACTTTGTCGATTAATTGATTTGGAGATTTATATTTATATATAATATTTTTATATAACTAAGTCTTGAATTGCAATAGACCCAGCACCAATCTGTGATCCAACAAAATAATTGGGCTGGAGTTATACTTCTGAGAAAAATAGGGGATTAGATACCCTTAATTTTATTCTTTCGCCCGAAATTAACCAGCGTTCAGTGATATATATACAGTCAGAAAATCATTTATGAGCAAATTTGACAGGAATGCCCTCTGGCTACATTTCTATCTTGTTTTTATAGACTTCATAGGATTGTCCAAAGACTTAGCAGTGCTGAACTGTAAGGTGCTCAAAGAGAAGTCCCCTTACGCCGTGTCAGGCGTCTATTGGATAGATCCTGATGGCGGTTCCCGTAGTAACGCTTTCCAGGTCTACTGCGACCAGCAAACAGACGGAGGGGGTTGGACGCTAGTTTACAGTTACACTTTCACTACCTACTCAAGCTTCTGTCACTCCGCGCCCATCTTGGTCAGCTAGCGGCGCTAACGTTCGAGTGTCTAAAACAGTTCCACTGAGCGAGACGCAGTATGAGGCCATGGACTTTTCTTTGTGGCGCAGCATTGGCAAGGAATTCCTGATCAAGAGCAACATCGACAACTGGATTGCATGCAAGGAAGGTTCTGGTAGCATAGTGCAACACAAGAAGGGGTCACTTTCTTGTAAACTGGTGAAGCAGGTTTCTAATCAGTGCACTGGAACGGTACCAAAATCTATGAGTCTTCCCAGTCGCAGACCTCTCCTCACTGCTGGAAGTACTTATTACTACTTTGACGGGGACACAAGAATTAACTCACCAACTCATGATCCTTGTGGTAAAAATCGACCAAACCAGTTGAGAAACGTGCAAAACCCACATGGAAACATTTTTGTGCGCTGAGAACCTCACGTGAATCGTCTTAAGTTTTATTCTGTAAGCGGCTCAAAATTAAAGATGGGTTCTTGGGATATCAATGCCTGACTTTTCGAGAGCTGTAATTGTTTAAAAAAAAGTTGTAACCTTCACGCTCTCTAGCTGAGCATCTACCCGTGTTTTCGATTTCAGCTCATAACGAGACAACCCTCGTAATGTGTTAATATTCTGTCCTAAAACACTCTCAAATAAAAATTTGGTCTTCGCCTCTCTTCACCACTCCCCCTCTTCCAGCAAGAATTTA